ATCCCGCTTGCAATCCCACACACTTTTAGGGGCCAATGACGTCGACCCTGGGCACCCTCATGCGAAGGATTCCAACCCCGCTCAAGCCTGGCCAAGCAACAAAAGGCTACATCCGAAGGCTACATCGATTTGGGTTGCTTGTCCGCCGTCGTCGCGAGGGGGGAATACACCGCATGAGGGGCAGTGAATGAGATTCCAAATGGGCCGATGGGGGAGCGCACCAAACGTGCCTCACGAAACGCCCGAGAACATCACCCCTCCACGGTCTTGCTTTTTGAGCACCCGGTGGGAAAAAGTCCCTTGGCGGATGCCGTTTCGCAACTTTGTGTCGGGGATCCCTCTCGGAAAGTTCCGATTGAACACGACGAGCACGTGAGTCCAACCTAGCCCTCGCTTACTGAGCAACCGTGAGGATGCCTTTCCGCTCAGGTTTCGACGGGAAACACACGCTGGGGAGGTCCATGAATCCTTGGTACGCGCCACCATCCATCCCGCTTGCAATCCCACACACTTCCAGGGCCTAGATTTTCCGGATCAATGACTTTCACCCCAAACCGGCGTGTGTACGCACCTCATGCGGAGGATTCCAACCGTGCTCAAGCTTGGCCAAGCAACAAAAGGCTACATCCGAAGGCTACATCGATTGGGTTGCTTGTCCGCCATCGTCGCAGGGCGGGAATCCTACGCATGAGGGGCAATGAATGGGATTTCAAATGGGGGGATGGGGGAACGTACCATCCGAAGGCTACCAAAAGAGGTTTCGAGTGCCTCACAAACACGATAGTCCAACCTAGCCCTTGCTTACTGAGCAACCGCGAGGAAAACGCCCCAACGGATGCCTTTCCGCTCGAGTTTCGACGGGAATAGCGTGCAAGGAAGGCCCAAGAACCCCTAGATACGCTCATCCATCCATCCCATTTGAAATTCCACACATTTTAAGGGTCGCCGGAAAAGTCGCCGGAAAATCTCGCCGGCGGCCGCCGCCGCCGCCGGCACCACCGCCGCCGCCACCGGGGAAGGTGGTCGACGTTTTGGGGAGGGACACCCCATGGACTTGCTCACACCTTGATCTTGTCTATTGGGAGGGGCATACATGTGGTGGTGTGAGCAAGGCCATGGGGAGGGGGGTTGGGGTGCCCCCCTATATATGCAAAATGAGCCTTTTCCCATGTGCCACGAACAGACATACTTTTTCGTGAGATGACAACCTCCGTTTGAGGGACCTAGAGATCGTATTTTTGCGCGATTTTTTGCAGCATTCCTTGGCATCATATAAGGATGCTTCCTGCCAAGTTTCATAATTTTTTGACAACCATAGAATATTTTTGAAATTTTTTAGTGTTTCACATAGTGCGCGCTCTACGGGCCACCACGGGCGGCGGCACCGGCGGCGGCACCCCCTAACATTTAGGGGGGGTCAAGTAGGAGTGAATAAAACCATCAGGACTCAAATGTAACGAGTGGATTTAATTTTGGTACGGGAGTGAAATTTTTGGACTGTGCTGGAACAGTCCTGGACTGGTCCTGGACAGTCCTGGACTGGTCCTGGACAGTCCTGGACTGGTCTGGACAGTCCTGGACGTCCTGGACCAGTCCTGGACGTGCCAGGACCAGTCCTGGACGTGCCAGGGCAGTCCTGGACGTGCCAGGACGTGCCAGGACGGTCCAGGACCAGTCCTGGACGTGCCAGGACCAGTCCTGGACGTGCCAGGACGTGCCAGGACCCGTCCTGGACGTGCCAGAACGTGCCTGGACGTGCCAGCACGTCCCAGAACCTTGCCAAACCGTACCAGGACTTGCCCAAACCTTGCCAAACCGTGCCCGGACCTTGCCCAAGCCTCCCAACACTTGCCCGGACCTTGCCCAAGCTTGCCAAACCATACAAGCACCTTGCCCGGACCTTGTCCAAGCTTGCCAAACCGTACAAGAACCTTGCCCACGCGTGCCAACACTTGCCCGGACCTTGCCCAAGCTTGCCAACCCATACAAGCACCTTGCCCGGACCTTGTCCAAGCTTGCCAAACCGTACAAGAACCTTGCCCACGCATGCCAACACTTGCCCGGACCCTGTCCGAGCTTGTAAAACAGTACAAGAACCTTGCCCGGACCTTGCACAAGCCTCCCAACACTTGCCCGGACCTTGCCCAAGCTTGCCAAACCATACAAGCACCTTGCCCGGACCTTGTCCAAGCTTGCCAAACCGTCCAAGAACCTTGCCCACGCATGCCAACACTTGCCCGGACCCTGTCCGAGCTTGCCAAACCGTACAAGCACCTTGCCCACCCATGCCAACACTTGCCCGGACCTTGCCCAAGCTTGCCAAACCATACAAGCACCTTGCCCGGACCATGTCCGAGCTTGCCAACCCGTACAAGAACCTTGCCCACCCATACCAACACTTGCCCGGACCATGTCCGACCTTGCCAAACCATACAAGCACCTTGCCCGGACCTTGCCCAAGCTTGCCAAACCGTACAAGCACCTTGCCCACGCATGCCAA